ACAGGAGCGGAGCTCCGGAAGTAAAGAGCCCAGGGGGCGGACACATGCAACAAGCCCCGCCCCCTGCTCCCAGCAGCCCTCAGTCGGAGCAAGAAGCAGCCAGGTACGTTGCAGAGGGGCCCCCCCCCCGGCCCAAAACAGTCCAGTGACACCTTTAAGACCACGTTTTATTCAGGTACAAGCTCTCCCTCCTCCGCGAGGACAGATCTGCACGTCCCCCCCCCCAATAGCTAGCAATCCAAAAGAGTCCAGTGGAGCCTGAGCGGTGGGTGTTGTCTTCTGACACACTTCCGGTGATGTCAGGGGGTGTGGCATATGCAAATGAGTTATGCTAACGAGTTATGCTAAGGAGCTCCTGCATCTCTTTTTCTACGAAATGACCCCTGGTATCAATTATCATTTGGTTTCAGTAGGCTTCGTACAGGATACCACCATAACCTCCCGGGCAATGCTCCCTCTAAGCTGGGGAGTCTCGTGAGCAAAAATTATACTTTGTGAGCTCCTGGCCTTAAAGCTGTGAGCGAGCGATTTGGACGCTGCATAAATTAGTTTGCTCTGGAGCCATCCTTCCTGAGCTGAGACGACAATGTGTGCGCCGGAGGCTAAAAGGATGCGAGCTAGCTTACACGAACTGAGCTTAGAGGGGACTGGGGTGTTTAGCTGGCCCTGTGTGACAAAGAGCAAGATTCGAGTCTAACAGCACCTTAAAGACCCACAAGAATTCCGGCGTGTGAGCTTTTGAGAGTCAAAGCTCTCAAATAAAATGACCGATATTGTAGTACCCCTGTACAGATCTATGGTGTGGACTCCTTTGGAATACCGTGTACAGTTCTGGTCCCCTTATCTCCAAGATACAGAGGAGGGGCAACCGTGATGATTAGGGTATTGGAGCACTTTCCCTATGAGGAAAGGCTGAACAGTCTGGGACTTTTCAGTTTATAAGGGACGACTAAGCGGGGTCATGGTAGAGGTTTATAAAATTATACACGGCATGGAGAAAGCTTTGGGCACGGAGGGAACTATTTCTCCCTCTCCCAAAAGACTGGAACTCGGGGGCATCCAATGAAGCTGATGGGCAGTAGGTTCAGGACGGACAAAAGGAAATACTTCTTCACCCAAAGAGTATTAGCACATGGAATTCGCTGCCAGGGGCTGTCGTGATGGCCACAGGAATCAACAGCTTTCAAAGGGGACTTGACAGATTCGTGGAGACGAAGTCTATCAACAGCTACTAGCCCTGGTGGCTGAGGGGCACCTCCACATTCAGAGACACTAAGCCTCTGTATCCCCAGAGCCAGGAGGCAACATCAGGGGAAGGCCTCGGCCTTCATACAGAGGAACTGGTTGGCCACTGTGTGAGACAGGATACGGGACTAGAGGGACCACTGGTATGATCCAGCGGGGCTCTTCTGATGTTCTCATGAAGGCCTCAGCTTCTATGCCCTACTGCTGGCCATCCAGAAGAACTGGTTGGCCGCAGAGGGGATGCTGAACTAGATGGACCCTCAGTGGTCTGATCCAGCAGGGCTCTTCTGATGTTCTTATCAGGGGAAGGCCTCGGCCTCTGTGCCCTGTTGTTGGCCGTCTAGAGGAACCGGTTGGCCACTGTGTGAGACAGGATGCGGGACTAGATGGACCACTGATCTGATCCAGCAGGGCTCTTCTGATGTTCTTATGAAGGCTTCGGCCTGTATGCCCTGTTGTTGGCCCTCCAGAGGAACTGGTTGACCCCTGTGTGAGACGGGATGCTGGACTAGATGGACTACTAGTCTGATCCAGCAGGGCTCTTCTGATGTTCTTATGAAGGCCTCGGCCTCTCTGCCCTGCTGTTGGCCCTCCAGAGCTACTGGTTGGCCGCGGAGTTGAGATGGGATGCTGGCCTAGATGGACCACTGGTCTGATCCAGCAGGGCTCTTCTGATATTCTTATGAAGGCCTCGGCCTCTCTGCCCTGCTGTTGGCCCTCCAGAGCTACTGGTTGGCCGCGGAGTTAAGATGGGATGCTGGACTAGATGGACTACTAGTCTGATCCAGCAGGGCTCTTCTGATATTCTTATGAAGGCCTCGGCCTCTCTGCCCTGCTGTTGGCCCTCCAGAGCTACTGGTTGGCCGCGGAGTTAAGATGGGATGCTGGACTAGATGGACTACTGGTCTGATCCAGCAGGGTTCTTCTTAGGTTGTTAAGGTTCTTAAAGCTCCCTGCGTCAAATGCAAGTGGGACTGGAGGTCTGTATCTGATAAAGGGAGCTTTGATCTCTAAGGTGCTACTGGACCCAAATTTAGCTCTTCTACTGCAGACCAACATGGTCGTACTCCTGAAACCGTGAGAAAAAAATATGATGTACCATTGGGTTGATCCACAACAGGTCTTCTCATGAGTTTTAAATTGTTTATGCACATTCACTTTGACATCGGTTTACTGGTTTGGATGTGATTTCTTTTGACACAAGACCGCAGTCTATCATTATTGTACCTCAATCAATAAATAGAAATGTACAACTTCCATATTCATATGCACAATTTCTGCATTGGGTTGAGCGCTGTGCTGACAAACATTGATTCAGTGGAAAGCCAGGCGCACATTTATTTTGGCTTCCTGTCATATTCACAAACTTCTGATAACCACGGCCCAAAACCAGAGGTGAAAACATACCACATGTACAACAACATTTATGTGTCTCACAAACGCTCGGGTACCACGATCCAGTGTAACAGCCTTCTTAAGCTCCTTGCTTCTACATCTCTGTAAAACTTAAGACGAAGAACACCAAGAAGAAGAGGAGAAGAGATTGGATTTATACCCTGCCCTTCACTACCCGAAGGAGTCTCAGAGTGGCTTACAAACGCCTTTCCCTTCCCCTCCCCACAACAGACACCCTGTGAGGAAGGTGGGACTGAGAGCTCTCTTGAGAACTGCCCTGGAAAGAACAGCTCTGAAAGAGCTTGTGATTGACCCACGGTCACATCAGCAGCTGCATGTGGAGGAATGGGGAATCAAACCTGGTTCTCCCAGATTAGAGTCCACACTCTTAACCACTACACCAAACTTGGGCAAGCCATAGTTCTGGCACAGCTGTTCTTGAAAAACAGCAGTTTCTGTCAGAGCTCTCTCAGCCCCACCTACCTCACGGGGTGTCTGTTGTGGGGAGGGGAAGGGAAAGGAGTTTGTGAGCCGCTCTGAGACACCTTTGGTTAGTGAAGGGCGGGGTATGGACCCAATCTCTTCTTCTCTCAAGGGCCTGCAAGACGGAGCTCTTCCGCCAGGCCTTCGATTAGGGTGCTGCCTTAAGGCCCTGGCCCTGACATCAACACCGCCACCCACTGGACAACAGTGGGAGGGCTTCTAGTGTCCTGGCCCCACTGGTGGACCTCCTGGTGGCACCTGGTGTTTTTGGCCCCTGTGTGACAGAGTGTTGGACTGGATGGGCCTTTGGCCTGTTCCAACATTGGCGTGTCTCATGTTCTTATGTTCTTAACTAACAGCCTGGCAGGAGCCTGGACTAGGGTATAGGCGGCCATTCAAGTGTTGACAGAACGCCACCATCTTTTATTATCGTACGTACTGAGCAGTTCTGGTTTTATATTGCAATCTTCACTTGATTTGTTTTACTGTATTATGGAGTTTTAATGTATATTTTCACGTGCATGTTTGTTAGCCGCCCTGAGGCCACCACGGTGGGGAGGGTGGGATATAAATTTGATAAATAAATAAATAAGTGCATGGTCCTTACAGCCGACTCTGATCTGGATGACACAAGCTAACCTGATCTCATCAGGTCTTTGACGCTAAACAGGGGAAGCCCTGGTTAGTATCTGGATGGGAGACCACCGGGGAAGTCCAGGGTCGCTACGGAGAAGCAGGCAAGGGCAAACCCACCTCTAATAGTTTCTTGCCTTGCGAGAGAAGGCTTAGAGGGGACATGATTGCAGTCTCCAAATATCTGAAGGGCTGTTGTCATGATCTGGGCTGTGCCACCAGAGGCCTACTAGGCCCAGGGAGCCTGGCTAGCAGTAGGTGAGGCTGGGCCTACAACTCCCAGAAGCCCCTGAGAGGTTTTGGAGCCAAAATTGACCAATAGGGAAGAAGAGGGCTGGGGAACAAAAGGGCTGGTGCCAGAGCAGAAGGTGTTCCTTTCCCAGAGGGCAGAGCCAGAAGGAAGGCTGCTGCAGGAAGAGACCCTCATCCTGAGGGAAGGGTGAGTAGTCTAGTGTCACTTGGAATAGTGAGCTAGCGACAGTATATATTTAGACGCGTTAGGGCATTTGATTTCTTTTCTTTTCACCCACTTACTGTTATTTTTCACACCTTGTTGTTTGTCCTCCTACAAAATAAACCTTTTCCTTGTTTCACTCTGCCTGGTCCTCACGCCTATTATTTGGCCAAACAAGGGAGGCCTGAAGGTCTTGGGAGGGTGCTCTGGGCCTTCTCAAGGGATCCTAAATCCCGAATGGTGGCAGCGTCAGGTGACTCCCCACCTGAGCCGTGACAGCTGTCATGCAGGAGATGGAGCAGATCCATTCTCTCTTGCTCCGGATTGCAAGACTAGGTCTAATGGGTGGAAATTACAAGGGAGTTGACACCGGCTAAATATCAGGAGAAACTTCCTCACTGTAAGAGCAGTTGAGCAGTGGAACAGACTGCCTCGGGTGGTGGTGGATGCTCCTTCGCTGGACGTTTTCAAGCGGAAGCTGGACGACCGTCTTTCAGGTATGTTGTAGGGCTATCTTTCGGCTATGCTCCTGCAGAGTGCAGGGGGTTGGACTAGATGACCCTCAAGGTCCCTTCCATCTCTAACATTCTATGGTTCTATGACCCTGTGGGATCGCCATAAGCCAGCACCAGAGGGGAAAGAGAACACCGCATTTCCCCCGAGCTCCAGCGTGACAACTTTAAAGCCATCCCAGGTCCCCTCCCCCACAACTCAAATCTTTAGCCTAAAACCGGGTAAGAGGAATTAGCGGCAAACCCTTTCATTAGGAACAGAATAAATGCTTTCTCACCCTCTCTTCCAGTCGAGCCAGCTGTTCTTTGTAGTAGGCATCATGCTTTTTCAGCTCTCCGTCTTTCTCCTCCAGCTGCTTGGCCTGGAAAAAGGGAAAAAAGCAAGACAAACCGGATCAAGAGAAAGCAATCCCAGCAAAGCAAAAGTCTGGTGCAAATTGTGCCCGTTAACAGCTACGCTGAGATTGGCGCCTGCAGCCGGCTCCCATTTTGCCAAGCCAGTATATTAATAAGATCATGATTAGCGCATTGAGAATGTTAAGTGCCTGCCCCATTGTTCCTCCCTGTTTGCGCGACAGCTGTGCCACAGTTCATCCAAGAGGCTTGGGGAAGAGTCACAAGACGGTGCCAAGCAAGCAGTCCCAGAATTAATTCCTTAGTGAAAGATGGGGTGGGACTGCTCGCAAGGACGGGGAAGGAAGCTACACATTTCTTGGTCAACTCTTGAGCTGAAACACTGAGAGAGACCCGGTGGCCTTGTCAAACTTCTGAAACCTTGTTGTTGGATTAGAGCAGGGGTCCCCGACGTAGTGAGGCCGCGGTGGCTCAGAGGTTAAAGACGCTGAGCTGCAGACCGGAAGGTCAGTAGCTCGGCAGTTCGAGACCCCAGTGCCGCGGGACGGAGTGAGCTCCCGTCTTTGGCCCCAGCTCCTGCCAACCTAGCCGTTCGAAAGCAAGAAATTGCAAGTTGATAAATAGGTACCGCTTTGGTGGGAAGGTCACAGCGTCCTGTGCGCCTCACCGTTTAGTCATGCCGGCCACATGACCTCGGACAGCACTGGCTCTTCGGCTTGGAAATGGAGATGAGCACCGCCCCCTAGAGTCGGATTCAAATGGCTTTCGAGCAAGGGAAACCTTTACCCTTTACCGTGTTATGTATTGTGCATACATGTCTGAGCTTCGCCTGTTCAGCCATCTAAGGCTGGTATTGTAAAATGCACATTCTGATTGGCTACTCTGCGCAGTAGACCAATCAGAACCCAAGAACGGTTCTGGAGGGAATTGAGTTCATTGGTCTTTATGTTAATGTTATGATTGGTTCTTAACTCACCAGTGGGCGTGGTTATACAAGCCTGGATAGTTTAAAAGAGAGCCTGTTGCTCTCCTGTTTTGTGTCGTTTTCTGCTATGTTCTAATAAAGCTGAATCACGTGATTAAGAGCTGCCTGAAGTCTCATACATAACATACCCCAACACAGTGCCCATGGGAGGCACGGCACCTACCAACACCTTTCCGGGAGCCCATCAAGTGTTTTTAGAAAGCGACTAGAGCCATGTGGGGCTTCGGCCTAGGGAGACTTGTGACTGGCCACTGGAGATTTGATTGGTTGTACAAAGAGCTTTTTTTGAAAAGGGGGTGCTGGAACTCTCAAGAGGGAAATGAAGTTTTCAATCTGTATACTGAAAATTCATGAACTTTTAAACATTTTTGAAAGAATTTTGTCAAAGAGGTTCTGGAACTCCGTTCCGGCACGTTCCCCCAGAAAAAAAGACATGGTTGTAGAGATTTTTTAGAAAACACTGCTTTGCCAGCAGTTGCCAGAAGGATCTGAACGTAAACTGTGGCAGCCATTTTGTGGCTTGTTCTGCCTACTGTGGCAGCCATTTTGTGGCTGCGCCAAGCAGGCTATGTGTAGTGTATTCAATAGCTGTCATTGAATGCCTAAACATGTATGCGAATCACCTCATAGAAATGTAATGTTAAGCTTCGTCCTGAGCTAGGATCCAAATACATCCAATCGCATGGCTAGCCCAGGAAGAACCAACCAATCGCATATCAGCAAGCTCCCTGAGTGGGAACGTCGATGATTGGTCCTTATGTAAACAATCCCATTGGTTGGTAATGTACAGTGAAGGCGTGGCTATATTAGCCGGGAGAGTTTAAAAAGTGAACAGCTTTAATGCTAAAGCTGTTCTGGCTATCAGATGTTGATCCGTGTTGGAGTTGTGCTCGAGTTGATGAATAAAGCTATTTCTTTGCTGAATCACTCTCCGACTACTTTGTTAAGCGAGCAACAACACTATGGGAGAATTCCAAAGGTGTCGGCAAAATCAAAACGGTTGGGGGGGCCCCTGGATTATAGGCTTAAATCCAGTATGCACTCAAGTCAAATATTATCAGTGACTCAAGCAACACCCGTGCTTGCTTATGTAAGCCAATCTCCCACGGCTTTAACGGTCATGGCCACCATTCTATAACCCCTTCGACACATTCTGGTAATTGTAGCTTGACAGAACTGGCAGTTCTCAAATGGCTGCCAGGGCACTGGAGGTAAACAGATGGATTTGCTAGGTATATGGATAATCCTGCAACCCATGTTTCCTCTAAGATGTGGAGTCTTGTGAGCAAAAAATTCTACTTCGTGAGCTCCAGGCATTAAAGTTGTGAGCGAGCGATTTGGCTACAGCAGAAATCAGTTTGCTCTGGAGCCATCCTTCCTGACCTAAGACAAAAACCTGTGAGTCAGAGGCTAAAAAACTGTGAGCTCACTCACACGAAGTCAAATTAGAGGGAACACTGCCTGCAACGTCTCATTTTCCACCTGAGTCATAAATTCCCACAGTGTGGCAGGAAGAGGTGATTCAGCAACCTTGCTGAAGCTCAGCAAATCTGAGCCAAATCAGAGAGAGACTTCCTGGGAAACGTACGAACTCTACCTTGAGTTCCATAACGTGGTAAAAATAAAGTTGTTCAGACTAGCAGAGCTAGGCCACAGTCAACAGAAGGAGGAGGAGAAGGAGGAGGTTGGGTTTATCCCCCACCCTTCACTGCCCAAAGGAGTCTCAGAGCGGCTCACAAACTCCTTTCCCCTCCCCTCCCCACAACAGACACCCTGGGAGCTAGGTGGGGCTGAGAGAGCTCTTGAGAGAAACTGCTCTTTTTCAAGAACAGCTTCCGCTTTTCGCCCGCCATTTTTTTTAAGCGTTGGCAATATGCGCTTGGGCAGAGCTTCGCCTCCATGTTAATAAATCAAAGTTTAAACGGTGCCTAGTTTTGCTGTATAGACGAGTTCAGGATCTCAGGGAGGCCAGTTTCGGGGTAAAACTGTAAAGGAAAGTGTTCCTTTAACGTTTAAAGGGAAACGTCACGGCAGTTGGGTTGAAGGGGAAATTGCTGTTCTGCGCATGCGCGAAAATTTCAATACTAAAGATGGCCGCCTGTGCCCATGCCCAAACTGAGAGGAAAAAAACCCATGTAGACGACGGGGAGCGATGTGGCTGCGCAGCGATCCGGAACAAGGTGGTGAGTGTGATCGTGATTCTTTCGGGTTAAAAAAAAACCCCGCATTGGACCACCACTCCCGGCACGCCGTCTGACCGCACCCGTGGTTGGCGGAAAAGACAAGCAAAGGTGGCAATGCTAGCAACAGACCCTGCTGGAAGCTCTCGGCCCTAGGAGCTGCCCCACCTCATGGTATGTTGATGCCGGCCCTGACCACAGACATGCCTGCCAAAACAACAAGACTACCCAAATCTTTGCAGCGATACAAAACCACGTTCGGTTGCATCGTTAACCTTTTACACGTAAGCTGGCTCTGATGAGAACCGCTGTCGGTTACCAGGTAATTTGGGGAAAACCTTTCATGTTTGCGACAGAGGCACGAGAGAGACAGGTACGTCCTCGTACAATTCCAAGCGGCGGCGTCAGACTTTCATCTCTGAACAATGTTTTTGCTCGCAAAGAGCTCCCCTCCGATTTTCAGCACTGCCGATCAAAGAGGCAATTTTATTCCCTCTCTGCCCTGGGTGGACCATATTGGGGGAAACGGGGTTTGCGAAGAACAGCCCTTAAAGAGGGGAATGGTCATCGAGGAGGTGAGAACGGTAGGAGAATGTGGAGCGCTTCGCCTCTAGAACGTGACTGAAATCTCGAGCTGACAGCAACAAATGGCATCATCGAAAAAACATGATTGACAGGTGACACACAAGCACAGATCTTCATTTCAGCCTAGCATTTCTCGTAACAGATCTCACTATTATCAGTGTGTGCGTTATGGTAAAACCATAAAGGAAGGAGCCATAAAACATAAATGCAGGGACTCTTTAAGGCTGTTTGGACGATCTGGTATGCCCAAGAGCATAGCCCCTAAAGGTACACTCAATTTGCACATAATCATTGGGGATGCACGATGTAAGCTAACTAACATTGAAATTAAATCTTTCAATGAGATCAGCATTCCTAAAGTGTGAGAGAAATCCCTGATGGTATTTGAAGATGATGTGATGGAAGCAACCTGCTCCTGAAGCTGCCTGAGAATCACAGAATCATAGAGCTGGAAGGGACCTCCAGGGTCATCTAGTCTAACCCCCCGCACAATGCAGGAGATTCACAAATATCTCCCCCCACACACCTGCAGTGACCCCTGCTCCAATGCCCAGAAGATGGCAAAAAACTGGCCTGGAGAAAAATTGCTTCTTGACCTCAGGGCGGTGATCAGCATTTCCCTGGGCACGGGTCCTTGGCAGAGGCTCTACACAGTCTCAGGCAGAGATCTTTCACATCACTGGGCGGTGATCAGCATTTCCCTGGACACGGGTCCTTGGCAGAGGCTCTACACGGTCTCAGGCAGAGATCTTTCACATCACTTCTCCCCTAGGTTATGTAGATGCCTTATACCAAGACACACCATTGGTCCACCTAGCCCATAACTGTCTGTGTTGACTGTTAGCATCACTCCAAGTTCTCAGGCAGGAATCATTTGCAGACACACTAGGTAAAGGTCAAGGTTTCCCTTCCTTGAAAGCCAGTTGAATCCGAAGCTAGGCGGCAGTGCTTATCTCCCGTTTTCAAGCCGAAGAGCCAGCGCTGTCCGAAGACATTTCCGTGGTCATGTGGCCGGCATGACTAGACGCTGAGGCGCACGGAACGCTGTTACCTTCTCACCGAAGCGGTATCTATTTATCTACTTGCAAATTCTTGCTTTCGAACGGCTAGGTTGGCAGGAGCCAGGGCCAGAGACGGGAGCTCACTCTATCCCACGGCACTTGGGTCTCGAACTGCTGAACTACCCACCTTCCGGTCTGCAGCTCAGCATCTCTGAGCCACCACAGCCCTATGCAAGAGCATTTAAGTGTAAATGCAA